CCTCCGGACCCCTGGGGCCCGGGGCCGGGGCTTGACAACCCTGGAACTTTGTCTCAACTCATGTGTTTAAATCGTCTACAATAGGACTATAGCTGCTTCGATTTTGGATCTACTCATCTGGGTGGAATAGGGGCTGTTGTGGTGAAAATTCAAAACACACACACACACACATATTGCCTTGACGTATTCTGCTGTGCTCCGGTGAGAGTGCACTGTGTTTTATTGATTGGTTGTGGGCATGAAGGGGGGTTTCATAATCGAGCAACTTCAGCGTTGTGTATATTGTTATATTGGTGCGATCTCCGGTTTCTGAATTTTGCTTTCAGTGTGTTCTTCTCATGCATGCTGACTTGTGAGTTAGTGATGGTCATGAATTCAGTTCTTGCGGATCGGTTTCTTAAGAAGAAAGGAACAATGAAAGGAAAAAGGAACAAGGACGGAGGTATTTCAACATTTTACACTGCCCAGAGTAGAATGGAGCCTTCATTTCTTGAAGAGAAGAAGACATAGATCAAATTGCAAAGAAGAGCACACCTTCTTTGCAAGCATGTACAGCAGGTTGGCCACTATGTACTTGGCTCTGTCACTTATCAAGTCTCTTTCTTCCCCCTCGATTGCCCTCTGGGTGGACATAACTTGGGTAAGGAATGACAGTGTTGGATTTACGTCCCTCCTCTCAGCTGCTTTTTCAACACCATCAGAAACAGCGTTGATTGAAGCACGAACACTCGCAGTCGTGTTGATCTTGCTCCCGTGATCCACAGCATGTACTTTGGATAGTGGGTCCTTTACTGTCTTATTATTACTAGTTGCATCTTCGGCAATGGCTCCAGGCGTATTTGCTGCCGATGTCAGACTCGAGGCAGGCTGCAGAGCTGTAATATTCTCAGAGGCCTTTCTCTGGGGATTGACTGGTTGGTGCACTACCAAAGCATCGACTGCGGGGACTTTGATGATGTTCATGTTGGCCTCATCTCTCAAGAGCAACCATAAGCATGAGAGCAAGAACTCCTGCATTAGTAGCAGTAATTTACCGTACATACACACGTAGCAAAGCAAAACAAGAAGTAAGTTTTCTGTTTTACCTTTCAAATTAGGTTTTCTGTTTTAGCTTTTTTGGTTGAAACTTAACAGTTCAAGCAGCAAAAAACAAGAAACTAATCAGTCAACAGCTTGAAGCCTTGAACTTCCTTTCTGCCTTTTTGGTAAGACCACCTAAAGTCATTCTTTTTTTTTTCAAACAAAGTCCAGGTTATTGTAGAGGCTAGCCACCAGGCATATGACAGTCCCTTCAGCAGTTGGCCATTTGATCATCCAGATGATGTTCTTTACAGGCCCCCTATGAGACTCCCTCCCACCCTTACTCATCATTACAATCCCCAGTGCATCCCCCAATTTTTGCAGATTTTAAAACCTCGTTTTCTGTGAATTAACGAAAGCAAAGCATTCTCTGGATTCTCCTGTCAGCCAATGGTCAACGAGGCAGCGAATTTGTCGCCTGTTTTTGAGGATGGGTTCTTCGGTCAGCCAATGGGCTGCGTCCTCTGAAGGTTATGTTTCTGTTTTGCCGATCTGATGGAGGCTGAGAGCAACGAGGAAGCAACGAGGAAACTTTGCAAAATCACCCCCTACCTCAAAAATGGGCAAAAATGCAACTGCAAGGAACATGAATGTGGACGAAGCACAGAAATCCAGATTGCAAAATCACACTGAAGTCCAAGTAGTCAAAGCAAGAGTAGATAGCACAATGGAACCGAGTAACCATCCATTTGAGAACGATACAGAAGAATCGTGAGTCAATGTCCAAGCCCAATCGGGCAACACCAACAGCATAACCCAATGTAGCTCTCTCTCTTGAATGGCGCCAGGCGCCCTACCT